GAAAAGAAGGGTTGTGGGTCAGAAAAGAAGGGTTGTGGGTCAGAAAAAAGGGGGGGTCAGAAAAAAAGGGTGCGCGGGTCAAAAAAAAGGGAGCCCGATCTAAAAATGATCTACGATGATCATCGATGATCTACGTATAGTCTCTGCAGCGCTGGATGATGGCCAACTGTATCATCTTATGCGCCTTGTGGAGTGGGCCTTCCCACAGTTAAAATGTGTTCTTCTTACCAGGTCTTCGAACACCAGCCGCGGTGGAATTCAGAAGTCCATTCGGCGTGGCTTGTGCGGGACAGTCAAGTATCACCCTCTTTCAGCTTTGGAAGGAGGAAATTCGACTGTGTAAGGTGACGTATTATATGTCTGTTTCTGGCAGGAGTGACATGTGTATCTTGCAGGATTGTATAGACGGGGAAAGGATTTTCAGTTTAGAACCTTCAAATAAAAATAACTTGTGTCCTCGTGGTGCATTGCAGTTTATCAAGAAATTGACTGGCAAACCCTCAGGGAGGGGCGAACTGTTTGTGTGGTAGAGTGCGTCTAAACTGACCAGCTGAAGATGTTGAAGTTCTGCGTGGTCCGAACAAACGTCAGCCGCTCGTCCTCGCGTGGAACACCCGAAGCTTTGACTGCGGCGCCCACATCTGCTTCCGTCTCGTACATATGGGCAGCGTCCACATGGCGCCTATCATGCAAGGGGTGTCTCAAGGAATGTTTCTCATCCATGAGCGCTCCGAACCTGGTTTGCCTCTAAAATGTCCATCGCCTTTGCTTTGCTTAAATCCAGTCATGGAAGGATCATCAATCGCGATGACAGCTTGCAAACCAACCAACAAAATCCTGTGCGGATTTTCTGAGGCAACTATGCAACTATGCAAGCTTGCCCATGGTACTTCGGCCAGATTTGAGTCAAATAAATCGTAATCGGTCGACATCGGAATGTTTGGTGCTTCGACATCGGAAGCGCCTCCGGCTGTCATACAACACACACTGGTCTCTTTCAGCTGAGCGCCGGGCCCTCCTAGTTTCAGCCACTGGAGAACACCTTCCTCTACAGTGCACCCCCTGTAAGATCCATTGTAGCTCCCAAAGGCAATCATCGGCATTTGGACCTCAGGTGAACGCCACGCATAAGACTCAAACGCAGCGGGCTCAACACTCGGACTCGAACCGGGATTTAGGTGGAAGAATGACAAGCGGGCTGATCTTGGGTGGCCCCCAAACCCGCAAAACATTGCAAACGTTGACCCAAAACAGTCGTTGCTGAAGTTGAAAGGCAGGGCGCGCCAGGAGCGATTTCCACAGTTGGCACTGCATCCACCAGTCCGATCAGCAGTGCCAAGGATCTGATTGGCAGCATGGCCTTCCAGTTCCGCGCCCAACCGCCCGGCGCAGTTTCAAACGGGAAGTGTCTTTCCACTGAGCCAGCGCAGCAGTGGAAAGGTCACTCGTTTTCTTAAGTGTCGTTTGGGGGCGAGTGGATCACAGCGGATCAATTGATGACCAAAATGCAATGGGAGCTCTTTCAGTCGTCTGCACGTACGTCTAATGCTTTTTTAGCTCCCCGTGTCCGAGGGTCGATGTCTCTACGTCTCCAGTATTGGAGTCTTAAGAAGGTCAGAAGTCGAGGTCTGTCCAAAACTGACCTTGACACGCAATTCATATCAGTTTCAAATCATGTCAGTGCATCAAAACTGATCAAAACTTCATGACGGCTTCAGCCACCTGCTGGGTGGCTCAGACTGCACCAAGGCCCTAAGGGTCACACGATCTGCAGCACCACGGCAGAAAGCAGCCTCAGCAAAACCCCAGAAATCACGGGCGAACAGCCCATGCGATCGCGAAGGGTCAGGATTCCTCTCTGCAGGGTTTTGGGGGCACGGAAGTCTTGGAATCCTGGATCTCGGAGTCGTGTATGTTTGAAGAACGAAAGGGTGGTTCCGCTGCCAGCTGAGTTCTTCATCTCTTTCATCGAAAATCTTCGCTCCAGGTCTGACACACCCGACTCAGCTCACTACTTCGACGACATCATGGCAGAAATGGGCTTCTGAGATACTCGAACAAGAACAGTGACCTTAAAATGATTTAAAGGGATCCATCTCAATGCTCTAAGTCTACCAGTCAGTGCTTTTGAGTCAGATGATGCAAAAGATCCATACGTCCATACGTCATGCATTCCGTAGGAGGACTTAGCGGATCCGAGCATGGCAACTCGAAGATGGAGACGTTCTCTTTCTTTCCGTGACGACCGTGACGCCCGAAGACACCGCCCATGGTCTCAGCTGAATTTTAAGCCGAAGCGTCTCGGCTGCGCAAGGCGAATGCCGGGCATCAAAAGCGAACCCCTCCCTCCAACATGGAAATGGAAGACGAACAAACCCGGTGTGCAAAGGCACTCACCTGGTTGCTGAATGAGCAATTGCCTGCCACGCAATTGGCCACCAATCAAAAAGGTAGAGTCGACATGAGTCGACCAATTCTTGCTCCATTCTTGGCTAGGAACTAGGAGTCACTAATTAGTCCTTGATCGCGCAAGTCGAGTTGTGCACTCACTCATCGCATACTCTGGTATATAGTATAACGAGTGTGACATGCCGGCTTCCTGGGTAGCCACTGCGGTGCTTGCTCACAGTGCACGTTTTCACTCGTCCGCCTCAACACCTAAACAGTCGCGCACCTTCTTTCACCGCCCGAAACGCATGGGCGGGGGGTTCGGATGCGTCCTCCTCTTTGGGAATACGTCATCTGAAGGCCGCTGGCCGAAACCGGTCATCCCTTCGGGATGTCTGGCCATTTTTTCCTTATCTCGTGGCCCAGCCAGAGATATCGGTCCTGGGCCGTGCTGGCACAAAGACCTCAGGTGGTTGCAGCGGTGTCGACAGAGGGTTGTGGGTGAAGGAGTGGGGTGAAAGGAATGGAATTCCAATCTGTGACGAATTTGCACTTCTTTGAGATTTGAGATTCTTTGAGGTTGATCAATGGTCTATTCAAGTTCTTGAAACATCTGGACATTCTTGAAGCCTTCCGTCCCAGGCACCGAAACATGGGGGGTGAAACCTGCGAACGGCCGGGTCACCGAGCTCCCGGCCACCGACCTGCCATCCCAGGGCACGCTCGGAGGACGATCCTTGGAGAAGACCATTCAAAGGGCCGGGAGAGATGTTCATCCAGTGACATGGAAGGTGCGCTGAGTTTGGTATTTTGGTGTCATGGAGCGGACCTTGACATCATTGACACCAAGCTTCATGTTCTACACTTATTCAGGGAGATCGCTGATGCAGGGGAGTAGCAAAGAGTAAGAGAGTAAGCTATTCTTGGGCTGAACTCCAAGCAAACTGCCAATAGCATCCAATAGCCAAGAAATGGGCTTCAATGTTAGTAAGCTTTGCAGGTCTTGAGGTTGCACATAGTTGGATAGATATATAGAGACGATTTCCACTATGCTTCCAACTGGCTGGGTGGGTGGGGAATTAGGACTGCTGGGTGCTTTCTGATTCAGCAAGTTTTGAGCAAGGAGCAGGTCAATGGTTACAAGCCCGATGCCAGAGACAAACATGGTCCCACGGCAAAAGTATCCAAAACATGCCCACAGGCTGAGCATCAAGCAAACCCAGCCCATACCCAAATCGAACAGGAAAACAATACCCCAAAAACACTTACTAGTAGTAACAAGTGCCACGCTACTAGTAACAGGTGCCTTACTAGTAGTAACAAGAGGCTAGTAGTAACAAGTGCCTTAAAACGATCCTCCTGGGCGCCGCATGGCGCCTCTTCTCCCTCCCTCCAAGGAACCGGACGGCACCTCGAACGGCCCGAGACATGGTCGGTGCCGGTCTGGTACGTGGTGGCGAGACCTGAGGTCGCTCGCTCTGAGGGGCCGGTGGAGCCCGGAGGCGAAGGCCAACACCGCTTTTTTTCCGCTGAAGGAAGGAAGAAATGGTTTTCCAAGGCCGACTGAAACCCGATGCTTGCCAGATGTTGCAGGGTGTGTACCACGTTGATCTCACTACAAGTCTCGATCCTTGAGATCTTCCTTTTGCAGCTTTGCCTGAGGTGTGCACTGATGTGTGTGGCTTCAGCGCTGCAGTCCTGACACCACGGGCATCATCCAACGGTAGTCAATCACACCTTAACATACCTTAACCCTGTCCAAAATCAACATGATCTCAATAGTGCTGCAATCGTCAGTAGGAACTCCTTCACTGCAAGTATTGTCGTCCACCACACTTAGTGGATCTTAGTGGATCAAACCCCATCGTGCCCACCATCAGCTCCTTGCTGGTCTGGTCGCTGGTGGGTTCGACTTCGCCTGGGTCCCCGCGACGTCGCCGCTCTCAACGGAGCGCCGGGTCCGCGCAGCGGCGATCGGGCGCTAGGGCCGCTGGGGTGGCGACTCTGCGAAGCATCAGCATCTTGTACGCGAAGGCCCTGTCCGAAGTGCGGACGTCCACGGAGGGTCTCCACATTCCTTCAACTGCGGAGCCCCCAAAAAGCGGGCAGAAATCGGTTCTTAGTTCTTAGGTGAAACACTACTATTGCCAAAGCCGGGGGGGTGGTACAAAAAGGGGAAACTCATGGAAACTAAACAGCCAAACGAAAGGCTTCAAGCATTTTCGGCCAAATCACTTGCCTCGTCTTAAGTTGGGTCTGCATGTTGAGTGGGGAGACAGGGAGACTCAAACGGTTTTGGTCTATGTCTATGTCCCTATCCAACCGGGTCATCGTTGGAGGCCTCTAAAGAAGACTACGGGAATTGAAGCCTTCACCTCTGCATGCCTATTGTTGGGATGTATTGGGTGAGACTTCAGCGCCTGGTGCTTAGGAGGTCCCCCTAGCTCCCGAACCTGAAGGACAAGCTGAAACATCTGAAACCCTATCCAACCGGGTGGTCGAATTGGGAGGTCTCAGAGGTGGCCCCCTGGCTCTTCGCTCCCCCTTCGCGCCGAGCACCACCAGGTCTCTGAACGCCTCTGATCTTTCAGCATCACCTCTTGGAGGAGCTGCGCTTCGGGGTTCACCAGCAACGACATCTCGGCTTGCCGCGAGCGAGCGAGAGGCACCGTGGCGTCGCGGGGTGTCCCCAATGCGTCCGGGGCATGCGCGGTTCTTTTTCCTGGTTAAGCACGTGGCGTGCCGTGTGGAGGAGGCGTTCGGGTGCAGGGAAATGTTGGGAGATGAGAAACGCCGCCACGTGCGGAACGTTGACGTGGCCAATCGTGCGCTCACGATCGCTCAAAGTTGCAGTTGGATGACGCTGGAAGGGAAGTCCAAGACTATTCAAAAAATGGTCTAACTTTGGCCTTTAGCATTCTTTGAATGATCCAAAAGGAATTAAGGAATTGCATGGATGGCCCAACCCAAACCCCGCATCCATCCCATTAGCGCAAAATGTTCAACTTCACCTGCCTGGGCCCGATGCAACAGAAAAACAGTTCACTGAATGCACTGCGTGGAGCCCAAAACACGGCAGATGACGGGCATCTGTGAGCATTTTGATCTGCCAAGCACATGAGATGCAATGATAACTCCAGGAACAGGAGCGCACAATGGTTTTTTCTGCACATCCAGGCGGTGACGGGCAAAAGCCGCACCTGAAGCAAAGGCTTTCGAGGTTGCATCACTTGGGTTGGCCTGTGTTGTCCATTAACGGGCCTAAATACTTTCACCAATATCGATACATGGATATTCCATGATATTCCTATCATATGATAACAATATAGATCGATATCAAAATCGAGCAACGCTGGCTCGGGGTGTCCTAACCAGCGAGCTGCAACACCGTCGCAGAACCGGCCTGTAGCAGCAAGCATTTGCATGAGAATGCCCAAAGCCTTGAAAGAACCAGTTTCACAAAGCGTGCGTCTGAAATTGTTCCTTGCAACAATGAATGCAGCGGTCAGAATTCGGCGAATTTTGCTAAGCTGCTAGGCATCCGATGTTCCTTTAGGTGCTCTGCCCTCCCGTCCAACCATCTGAACCACCCAAACCCTGGGATCACCACGATCGGATCCTGAAGAACCACTCACCTGGAGAGCACAAGCCCCTTGGCTTGTAGAGTGGAACACCAATTCAGGACTCAAGTAATCATCCCTTCCGCTTCCTTGATGTTGAACCACAGCGAAGACTCACAAACAAGGGTTGTCGGCGACTGACAAACAAGGGATAGGATCACCCAGGTAGGCTGCCGAGGATCCCAAGTGTTTGGATCCACGGAATTTTTTGGGCGTTGCTCTCTCATGCTTAGCCAGCTTTGGGCAACATGGCACTGGCACAGGATGCCGCGATGATGCCTCCCATGGTATCGAGCTGGAATCTGCTATGTGAAGTCAGGCAAGTCAAAGCCTCCTGCCACTTGTGACCCTGCATGGAGCACACCGCCGCCCGATGCATGTCCGACAGGTCACGGAAAGCCGCCGCTGCTTGGCGCCAGGCTTCTGGAGCTGCGATGCGCTGCTGGTCGCCCATGGCCAAAAAGGTCCAACACCAAGCGGCCCACCTGGGCGACTGAAAGTGGTTCTCGATGGAGGCAACATCCTTCTTCACCGGGCCATGCCAGTCAACATTCCTCGTCTCCAAGAGCTCTTTCACAAATGTGCCGGCCTCTGTGGTGGCCTCCGAGGCATGCTCCACGTCTCCCGCGAAGAGGAACATGCGGCCAGCCTCAAAGCAGTAGGATAAATGCTTCTGAATCTTCGGAAGCTGCAGCTTCAGCAGCTGCTCCGCGGCCTCCAGCTCCTCGTCTGCCTTCCGCCAGAGCCACCGAAAATCGGCCTCGCGCACTCGCCACAGGTCCACCTTCAGCTCGCGGCAAAGGTGCTCAAGTCGGGGATGTTGCAAGTGTTGTGCCTCCAAAGCTTCAAGCTTCTGAAACGCCTCAAGCGCATGACAGCCAAGCACCAAATGCTTCCATCTGCCATGAGTCCTGTGCCTCCAGTGCCTCCAGCCATCCCCTTGCATGCACCTGCAGCGTTCGAACGTCTCGTCTTTGCGACCACATTCACACCGGCCATATTTGGCTAAGGACATCCATGCAACGTAGGTCACCAACGCCGCACGTCTGTGCCAATTCTGCTGCCATACTTTCCAAGAAGGGCGCACAGCATGCAGTGAGAGCAGCCTCCCTCGCTCCTCCAGGTGCTCTTTGCATATGCTGAGGTTGATGTGTCGCGGCGCAGAGACCCACTTGTACCCTGCTTTGGATGCTACCAGAATTTGGAGCAGGGCGTGGCGAACGGCTGCATGCTCAGCCACCCGCTCTGCAATTAAGCAGACCTGGTCATACAAGCACCCTGCATGGGACACCAGAAAAGAAAAGATCTGCTCCCACAGCACGATTTTCCTCAATTTGGCCAGAGGAGACCTGCGTTTGGGGCCCGAGGCTGCCTGCAACAAAACAGCCAAAACATCTTTCCAAGCACTTGTGCTTCTCATTTGCGGAGGACTCCAAAGCTGCCGAGGAGCATGCTCTCGCCCTCCGTTCTGCAGCTGCACCCGCAGCACCATGTCTGCCAAGGTGAGACCGCGCCGCGCCGCCTGGGTTGCCTCTTCGAAGATCTCCAAACGCTCGTGGCGGGCATCCAACGCGTGCATCAAAAGCTGCTTCGCATGCCCCTGCACCTCCGACAAGGAGATCCGCAAGTCTTCGACTGGCCTCTCCTGAAAGTGCTGCCTCATGAATACCACCAGTGAAGGGACATCGCCGCTGGTACTCTCCGTGCTGCAGCTGCTGGCTGTTTGAACCACCTTTGGCCTTTTCGGCACCTCTGACACCTGGTCCGCTTTCCTCCACTCAAAAACAGGTTCAATCATCATGCCATGAGACTGGCAGAAGGCTTGACAAAAGCCAGCATCCAAGGGTCGATTCTCTTCAAGCCTCTGCAGCTCACCCCGCAGCATCACTCGAGCTCGTCGATGCTGCCTTCCTTCTCGCGCCTCCATTTCGGCCTCCAGCCAAAACACCATCTCTGGTAAAGAGATCGGACCCGCTCCGCTGTCGGAATCTGAAGCAGCCTGGCAAGCTGGGCAGACATTCAAGTCCTCAAGTGTCGGCAAAGTTGGAGAGGCCCTGGTCGTCCCAGTCTCTACTCTGTGAACATAGGCAGTCAAACTGTCGACATACTCGACAGCGCCTTCCTGCGTCCAGTGTCTGAGCAACGGACTCCAGGGTGCCTTTGCCGTCGTTTCCAGGAGTACACAACCAAACCTGGCTCGAGTAATGGCTGTGTATAAGATCTTGAGCTCATGAATGGCCGGCACCATCTGATAGAACACATCGCTGTGTTTCAGAAACACATCACCTCCAAGCTGGGAAGTTTGAATGGTGGGGTTCCGGGACATTGCATCATCAAATTGGCAAGTGCATCCAATATATTTGAAGTGAAAATAGACTGCGCGCCATTGGTTGGCACGCCTTTACATTCTAAGGCACAACTTAGGACCTATTTAATAACCTAAATCATTCCAACAGAAAGGGTCAGAATAATGAACTGAAAGGATTAGCCATCGCTACAGTGTGAATGGCAACCCCGAGGTACTGGTGCCCGTTGAAGTTAATACATTTTGCATGTGGGATACTAAACCACCATGGAACGCCGATTTGCAAAAGTCAGTACTTAAGTCAAGACTGCTGGCCTTCCCCATTGTAAACGCTACATACAGAACAAGGTTCTCCAGATTCACCTTTCCAAAAAGAGAAAACTTCAACTGCAAATCCCAATGGCAACGCAAGTTGGAGGGCTACCCGACGTGGTAACTTACCCCATCGCACATGAACTTGACCCACCCCCATGGCACACCGCTTACCCCACGAATGTAAGAACTTACCCCATTTGGACAAAATGGCACACCGCTTCCAGACAAGCACTTTTTCTTCCAGACAAGCAGAAAACCAGCAGCAGACCGGCAGCACCAGCGAAGGTAGCCCAATCAAGCTTTCCCCCAAGGGCACACCTCATCTGGCACAAGTTCATGCCACTCAATAGTGTGCCCGCTTCACAGCGGAAGCCAGGTTTCCACGCGGACCCTGCTTCCGAGGGTTGGCCCTATAAGCCCTTGGAGGGTTGGACATATGAGACCCACAATCCCAAGATGAAGGGGAACCTATGGGCTGCCTATAGAAACCTCTAGAAACAACCTATGGGTTGCCTGCCAACTTCCTTGCGGTAGGTCTTGTGCAATCAAAACACTGTGAACGCTGAGTAAACCAAGCCCATTGAATAAAACCATGCATTTAGAAAACATCTTCCAACACACTCTATCCTGCAAGGAAACGCTATAGTGTATCGACTTCCTGGCTTGCTCATCACCTTCTATCTGCTATTTGCAAAAAAACACGTCTCGACTTCAACAACTGGCAGTACGCTCCCCACTGCAACTGCGCTCAAAGCAACCCTCGGCACACCCCAAACAGCCATTGCACTCGGTTTACAACTCTCTGTTGTGCTGCCCAAGGTATCTACGTATGTTTCCGTTAACCTTGCCAAACACCTGCAATCGGCACACCACGCAGCAACAGATACATTCAAGATCTGCAGTTCAAACACCAAACACCATGTTTTGTAAGCACACCCATCGATGAAGCAACTCAACCTCCAACATGCAAAACTGCATGGGAACTCACATTGCAAAGATACGACTTGTTGAAACACTATTTTTTGCCCCGCTGCAGACCCGAATAGCGGCATTCAAAACGGGGCTTCACACGAGCGGCTTTGAAGTGTGACAGTTGGAAAATGGTGGCACTTTGGGGTCAGCTATGTTCCGGAACTTGAGAACCAGAACAGGACACCATCAGAACAGGGTCGGGACACCATCAGAACCGGACCGGGACATCATCACAACAAGACCAGGACACCGTCAGAACAGGATCAGAACAGCACCAGGACACCAGAGCAGGACCGGGACAGCTTCAGAGCATGACCGGCACACTGTCCCAACCACCCGGCATATTGCCGGCCATGAGTATACAGTCTCCCTAAATACTCAATTGCCTTTGTTCATGCAAGTTCACTGTGACCTTCGGGCGTTGAATTGGCAATCCCAGGTGGCTTTCCTTTGAAGACCTGAAGCCTTAAAGCCTTGAAAAATGTTGACGCCCTGACACCTCGAAGCCTTGCCATTTCTTTGAAGAATAGAATAGACACCCTTTTTCCTGGCGACCTGAACCCTTGGATGCTTGAAGACTTGAAGCCTTGCTGTGGATGTAAAGTCTAGAAGAGTTTCGTGTCTTAGCGTCTTCGGGGTTGCCCGCGAGTCACAACCCGCAACTGCCAACAACGTGTGTGGTGACCTGAGGCCTTGAAGGTCCGCGTGACAACCTGAAGCCTTGAAGACCTGAAGCCTTGAAGAACGGCGTCTTCGTGTCTTTGCGAGTCTTCCTGTCTTCGTGTCTGCGCGCAAGAGTCGCAACCATTCGCAACCCGCAACTGGTGGCGCACTAGAAATCTCAACAACCATGCTGCCTCACCTGGGTCAGACGTGGCGGCAAAAAGTGCCATTTGAGATCCTTCGGAGTTCTCGTCTGCAAGCTCGCCGATGGCCCACGGGTGGGAGGAACCGCCCAGCACATGGATCAGGATGACCAAGTCAAATTCGAGACCTTTGACCTGGTCGGAAAACGGACTCCCTCAGTGTCACTGGAGAATAAGCTTCACCTTTTCCCGACCTGTTCTTGTTTATCCACTGACTGGGTAGGAAAATTCAACCAGGCAAATGGGTGCAAATGGCTATCATTCAAGAAGTCGGGGCAGTCTCAAAATGGCCCAACCCCCCACCTGGCCATACCTGGCCTGGGTTTGGAGGACAAAACGACAGCCCGCAAGTATGTTGACTTCTCCTAGCTTGAGACTCTAGGTTCCACATGGCTCCACCTCCAAGACTTAGCCAATCCTAGCCATGGCCTTTCTGCTCATCATGCACTGCTCTCCAGTTGCAAGTCCTGCCTCTGGAACTGTGAGCATCGTTGCTTGGCAGCCCTTTGACCGAAGGTGATCGCGGATTGCATTGCTGGCCACCACAAGGCAGGTAGAGCCAGCATCGACAGCCCAGTCCAATTGCAAAGCCCCAGTTCCTGCTTCATGTTTGACTACAGTACAGCCTGTCTTGGCTCGATAGAAAAGGTACAGCATCGGTCACTGAATACATACATACATACATACATACATACATACATTACATTACATTACATTACATTACATTACATTACATTACATTACATACATACATACATTACATTAATACATACATACATACATACATACATACATACATACATACATACATA